ATTAATGATGGATTACAATCATGTTAAATATTCTAATAATTACTAATGGATTACAATCATGTTAAATACTCTAATAATTAATGATGGATTACAATCATGTTAAATATTCTAATAATTACTGATGGATTACAATCATGTTAAATATTCTAATAACTAGTAATGGATTAAAATCATGTTAAATATTGTAATAATTACTAATGGATTACAATCATGTTAAATACTCTAATAATTAATGATGGATTACAATCATGTTAAATATTCTAATAATTACTGATGATTACAATCATGTTAAATATTCTAATAATTACTGATGGATTACAATCATGTTAAATATTCTAATAATTACTGATGGATTACAGTCATGTTAAATATTCTAATAATTACTGATGAATTACAATCATGTTAAATATTCTAATAATTACTGATGAATTACAATCATGTTAAATAACACAGTAAATTTATATTTTCCCTTCTGCGTGATTAAAACTACCACTAAGCCTTTTTGGACAGCCAATCAAATAAAGGAAGTTAAAGTGCAATATAAAAGTAATTAATTAAAAAGTAATTTGTCTGTTTCAAACCGAGAATTGGTTAGTTGTTTTGTTCAGTTTTATGTCGCAAAACACCAAGGCTATTAGCTCCTCGAAACCTAGACCAAAATGCATAACTTATATAGCAGTAACCAGTAAAATACATAGTCAATTAAACGTTAAAGTTATTCAATATTATTTAAAGCTACGCCGATTTAATGAAAATGAAACCTCCCCATCCTCTAATCTAGGGTACAGGATGACTTATACCAGCACATGTACTTAAAGTAAATCATTTAAAATTTTTGGTGAATCCTAGCAACATATTTTGTACTTCAGGAGATTACAGAGTGTTATGCATGCATATATTTACTAATTCATCTATTTAATTTTTACGACCACTGTATTCCTCTTAAAAACTTCCAGATAGGCTGAAATTGGCTGCAATCTGTCCTGCAGTTAGAGATTCCATACACAAGTTCAGCACTTAGGTCTTGGGCTGTCGCAAAGCGACGCATAGTGGGAAACGTGTGTTTGAAGGAACAATAATATCCAATCAGCGACAGCATCATCGATTACGTAACACACATATCCCTGAGTTCGTAGCATAACCAAGTAAACTGCAGTTCTTATAGCATTAGTGAATATGTGACTGTCTTATTAGAGAAGTATAATATTATAAAAATGAAATGATTAACATTTTTTCCTAAAGTAATACAAACTAATGTTGTTATTCGTAGCGACGAAATTTCAAAGACAAAAGTACAAATTACATGGTACCTGTATATTGTGTTTCGGATTTTTTTTTCGTCGAGACGTTCGGATTGAATGCGGATAATATGATGTTTTGGATGGGAAAAAATCGCCGAAAGAAAAAAAATCGAATAACTAAAAATTCTCCACGTGCGTGCAATAATTATAACCGCAGAAGTTTGCACGACACCTAGGTAGCATTGGAATTAAGACTAAACTACGATGAAGTAGGAGGAGACCGAACTTCTAGAAAGTACAAGAATAATAGAACAAATTCGCAAGCTCAAAAGTATGAAGACACTTTGCATATCGAAACGAACAAGGTACACGTACAAAAACATGTAAGTGTTATAAAACCACTTTTATATGAGCTTAACTATTGTGGATTATCATCGTTAGTTTCAAAATTAAAAATCAAGATACGTGTGATTTCAACATACGTAAGTGTAAAACTGTACGGTCCCTTATGTATTTTTCCTCTCGTATTTCTAAATTTAAAAGTACTTCTTGTTTGGGCCTTCATGTTTTAACTTAGTCTATTTCACGAATAGAATAATTCACACCACTCCCTTTAAAGGGGCATTTTACCTTCTCAGCCTTTTACTTTTTTTTTAATACAACAGCACCTCCGAATATTTAACTGTCCGTAGAATGGTATGAACACTGCTACCTTTTCACAGTGTATTTTTTGATCACCCAGATACTTGCGCAGTGATTGACTTTTGAATTAAAATATGTGAATCAAAATGATTAATATTACGAGTAAATTTTGAATATAATAGAGAGTTTAATGAACTGAGAGTGATGATTGGAATTAATAGTTTAAGACAAAAGTGTCTTTTTTTTCTGAGGAAAATATTTTAAGTTATGGTACGTTTTATTATAAACTATTTGAAAAAGCCTCACGATGTGTCATTTTATAATTTTCAATTATATGCTTAAAATAGTTGTCAGGAGCTGCCCCAAAGGAATGTATA